CTCCTGGTATAACACCCCAGCCTTGCACCAGCAAAGCCCAGGAAAATATTACCTCACACATTTCACGCCTGCTCGTAACTAGATCGGCTCTTTCATCTCATTGCGAGCTCCTTGGCCGGCTCCGGAGGACAGAAAATCCATTTCAGAACATTGGAAGGCTACCTTCTTGTCGTAGTTGTCCTTGCCTAGGCTGCATATAGCCCTCAGCTTCAAGCTGAGTGTTGGGTACGGGGTACGTTTCCGATGGATTGCAGGTTGCTTGTACTATTGCGTACTTTCCCGTAGATGAATGTCACAACGGTGGCCTTGACGGGTATTGTCAGCATTGGCACCGATCCATGGATACAAATAATGGGGACGAAGTGCAAAGATGAACATACTGCCAAAAACCCCCCCTTGTATATTGGCTTGGCCATGTACCAGTCCTCCTCAGGAAGCCAAACCATCTCATTCATCCGATGGAAGAAGATCGAGGCGACTGCCAGTAGTTCTCTTCCCAGGAGATAATCTCTGGAATTTCCTTGCTGTGTTGCATCGAATGCGCTTGAGTGATCTCGAACTATGCAGCTCCAGTGGTTATGCCGACCCCTAGCTCGTCGGAGAGTGGGCCAGAAAAACTGATACAATATCGGATGAAAAGAGCAAAAATAAATAGAGGAGCATCAAGGGAATGTCATCTTACTCTGTAGCCTTAAAGGGAATGTCGTCTAGAACCTGGTGGGCAGCGGTTTTCATGAAGCCAGCGAAACCTCAATTACCAGGGAGGCGCTGTTGGCCTTTCCCCGGCACAGTAACTCTCTCGCACTTGTTGATGGCCTTTAGGAGCTCTGGAGACATTGGAAAAGCCACCTTCTCGCTGGAAGTTTTCCCTACAACACACCTCGAGGTCCTCTGTCTTCTGCATCCACTCAAAGGGAAAAGAATCTCGCGAGTAGTAGGTGAGGTAAAGATTAAAAAAGGCTCGCCATGAGCCAGCCAACCTTCTCCGCACGATCGTATGAATTCCTTTCCGTCATGACGGGCTATCAATAAAAGAATGTCCGCTGCTCTGCTGGTCCGATAGTACATGTAGCTGTTGTCTGTTGATGTGCTGTAGTGATATTGTTTAGAAAAGCGCAGTCAGTACTTCGTAAGTCTCTGTATCAAATACATTTACCTGTTCAAGCGGTAACATTGGTTTAGCTGTATAGTGACTAGGCGCTTTACTGAATTAGGGTTTGTAACCCAGATATGGAAGCCAATTTCGAGCTTGACTGTAAATCATTAGGAGTCAAAATTTTTGAAACCATGCAGTGCATTGAGATGCCTTGTTATGACAGGTGTCTAACAGGCGTTGAGCGCAGATCACGCGAGTAGACGCGGCAAACGCTGCTTCATCGCTTTCTTGATATAATCTAAGGCTACATATCTCATGTGCACTCCAAAAGCAGAAATAAAATTATAACTCTACGAAGCGCGATCTACTGTTCGTCAATCTGAAGCTGTCTGCACGCTTTCTGTCTTATCTTTCTTATCTGAGCTTTCGAAAAACGAAGGACGACTAACTAGGATGCACAACAAAACACGGAGTGGCCTAAACATACTAGTACGATTAATTTTTAACAGTACCGTTTTCTTTGGCAGTGCCCTCATTATTTGGTGTGCGGCGGTAAACGGCCAGCGGCGTTCCAGCCAGCTCCGCTTTGATTTGCATGGACACGAATCGAGAGAAGAAACGACTATGTCCGAAGGGACCACCCATATACCATAATCCAGGATCTAAGAGTTCTGTCAATCAAATATAGCTCGAAAGGGATATGTAGTTAGTCGCAATATCACAACTTACGGCCAAGCGGTTTCCACGCCCCTCGAACTTCGCCTTCTTCGTCAAGCCCCCAAAACTCCTCAAGCTGGGCCGCGACATCAGCACCCAGGATTCTAGCAATGGTGGGACCAAAGGACATTTCAAACCCTGTCGCCAGGAGGATGATATCGGCTTTAAGTTCGGAGCCATCATTAAATATGAGGCCATCTTTACTGTATCCGGTTATCACGGCATCTGACTTCACTTTAATCTGAACTCGTCAGTAGAAGTTAGGTCGCAGGAGGGATTTGCGCTCCATAGTTCGGTGGAGAAGTGAATAATGAATGGGTGGGTATATACGGGAAATGGAACGTACCAAACGCTGGGCAACCTTCGCCGATGTGCCTACATCAATATAATGCCTTTTTTCGTCGTCAGCCAACACGTAAAATAAAAACCTCACTAAGGAGCACATTCGGTTTGAACGGTATAAATATTGAAGGCTATGAATATATTACCGGCCGCCCTCCTCGTATAATGTAGATAACGGATTGCCGCATCTTTTCACTCTGAACCCCACACGCTCTAGAGCGTCGAGTCGTTCGGTATCTTGACTCATCATGTCATTAAAACGGGGCGTGACGATTTTGTTGACTATTGAAAGCGGCGTCGAATATTCAATCCTGTCGGCTAGGTTCGTGGGAAAGGTATCGTTGTATCTCGCTTGTTGTTTGTTAGGGCTGTTTGACATCAACATCTCATGTATCGCATCCGTTAACTTACTCATGGCTCCTATATGCAACAAGTTGCACTCAATTAATACATATGATATTTGAAGTTGCACGATCCGTGGATGAGCCAAGCACTCTGACCTTGCTGGTAGTATTCAAAAGGCAGGATGACTGATAATGCGAACGAAAATATATCAGCAGGGATTTCCTAGCTACGAGGCTCTCCTCAGCGAACAAAGGAAATAATAACTAACATGTCTGTCCCCTCTGTACCATTGTGACGGAGGAGAGGCCGGCTTCGACCATGTCGTCACATACATCATGAGCTATAGAGGCAGGGTTAGATAATTGCTTCGAATTTTTAATCTGGGTAGCATCCCACCTGTGTTCGCAGACCCCACAACCTAGAGTAGATCAGTATCGGCCCACTCAAAGCACGTGAAACAAGGGGTGACATACCACTGCTGATTTGCCCTTCCATTGAGATGCAGATTTATAGTCAACAGAAAGGAGGACCAAGCCTCTAAAATTTTCCTAGCTAAATTTTCAGTGACGGATCATTACCCTGATTGGTGTGTCAAGAATCAAGGAAA